AACTTTCAAGCTCAAAAAAGATATGGAACATATTTTAATGGGTTCGCCTACCATGTAAACTACCATGTTGTCTAGTGACTCAATTTTGTAAGTCTTCTGAGATTATAATATCATTAGATTTTGAGGCTTTTTAGAGGGTTTGTGAAGAAGAAGAAGAAGAAGAAGAAGAAGAAGAAGAAGAAGAAGAAGAAGAAGAAAGATTAAAAGTAGTATAAATATAGACAAGATAATATTAAACATAAAAAGAAGTGATAGTTGTTGTAGAAGCTCTACCTGAATATAACAAGACAAATACTATTTTGTCCTTCTTTCTTTTTGATTTGTTGTTTTCTATTTGGTTTGAAATATCTCAAAATACATTGAACACATTATTTTCGCCCGTGAAGATATGAAGCCTTCCGGCTGCGCCATGTAAATTTCTTCCTCAATATCTCCATTAAGGAAGGCGGTCTTCACATCCATTTGCCATATCTCGTAGTCGTATACCATGCAGCTATGGCCAGCAAAATCCTAATGGACTTCAGCATCGCGACTGGCGAAAAGGTTTCCTCATAGTCAACTCCTTGCCTTTGAGTATATCCTTTCGCTACCAATCTAGCTTTATAGGTCGATACCTTTCCATCCACTCCAATTTTCTTCTTATAGATGCACTTGCAGCCTATGGGAACAATTCCCTTAGGTGGATCTACCAAGGTCCACACCTTGTTGGAGTACATGGAGTCCATCTCGGATTTCATGGCAGTTAGCCAATGTCCCATGTCCACATCCGATACGGCCTCATTGTATGTTCTTGGATCTTGTCCAAGATCAACATGATCTTCATCATTCTCGAGGAAGAATAACCTATCCGGCATTTTCCGAACTCTTTCGGATCTACGTACCGTAGGTTCATGAGGTATATTAGTGGTTTGTTGTATTGGTTCGATTACTTGTTCTTGCGCTTGAACTTCACTTTGTGGTTCTTGAACTACTTCAAGTTCTATCATGATGCCTTTTCTATCGGATAGAAACTCCATTTTAAAAAAGGTGGTATTTCTCGAAACAAACGTCTTTGCTTCCTTGACATAATATAATTCGTATCCCATTGAGTCTTCGGGATACCCCACAAAATAGCATAAGTCGGATTTACTATCCAACTTGTCTCCCACTAATCGCTTCACATAAGCGGGACAACCCCATATCCTAATATGTTTGTAGTTGGGTTTTCGGGAATGCCAAAGTTCATAGGGTGTGGATTTAACTGCTTTGGTGTTAACTCTATTCAGCAAATACGCGGCAGTGCAAAGTGCATGACCCCACAAGTATGCCGGTAAGTTCGTGAAACCCATCATTGATCGAACCATATCTAATAAAGTTCTATTCCGACGTTCGGAAACTCCATTGAGTTGAGGAGTTCCAGGTGGAGTCCATTGATATTGTATGCCATTCTCTTTTAGATAGTCAATGAACTCGATGCTCAAGTATTCTCCACCACTATCGGATCGCAACTTCTTAATACTTCGTGCGAGTTGCTTCTCTACTTCGTGTCTAAAATGTTTGAACTTTTCAAATGTTTCAGACTTGTACTTCATCAAGTATACATATCCATACTTAGAATAATCGTCGGTAAAGGTAGCGAAGTAGTTGTATCCACCCTC